AGGATAAAGACACAAAAGCAGAATATAGTGTCTTTCTCCAACACACACAGGAGTTACTGTACGTCTTGAAGCCGGAGAGGTCTATGGTCTTGAAACTTGGAGTATACTTGGAGAGGGTTTCGGGGGTCAACGCCCCCGCGGCTCGGTCTGAAACCAGGCCTCATGGTGGATCAGGGTCTGATCAACCAGGCTGTTACTGCTGGCCGCACGCAAACTGACGTAAAGGAAACCTTTTTGTTGTACTCTGGAGATTCACTTTTTTTTTTCTTTTTTTGCTTTTTCTCATTCTTATTACTTGCTCACTCGTCAAACTTGCCAATGCACTATAAACCTTCACTCTGCCTTTGCTAACTGATCACTGTTTTTTCTTTTTCCTTAATCTCACTTTGCATCAGACTTTCGTCAAAACTAGACAGTATTTGGAGGTCAGTGTGAGAGTCGACCTCACTATGACCAGCCTCTGCCAGCTTAATCCTCAGGTGACTACGATTTTACCAGCCTCCGTTATTCACGCAAACTTTATTAATCACAATGGTGCTGCAACACTGCACCAACTTTATAAGACTTTTCAGTGATTGATTTCGGTCTCGGTGCACTTTGTAATACAACTCACATAAAAATGACGCTTGAGAAATACAAATATTCCACGCTCAATGCAAAAAAAAAAAAAAAAAATCATAGACGATTTAACCACCAGAAAATCGAAACTTAAAATTTACACACAGCTAAGGGTAGAGCAAATGCCACTTAAAGTATGTGCTGTTTTTTTTTCTTTGACAAAAATAAGCTCTTTGGAAAAAGCAAGGCGTACACAGAGGACTTGTATGTGGTACAAAAATTGGAAAACTGCGTCAGAAGGGCTTTTGTAAGTAAGTAAGTAAGTAAGTTTATTCAGGTATACACAAATACAGTTACATAGAATTATCATACATAGCAGCACATGTGTAGAGAACCTAGGATAACCCAAAAAAGTCAGACAGAGTGACTTATTTCCATTGGGGTCCTTTTACCTTATTATTATAATATAAAGGTTATAATATTTTCTTATTATTCTATAATGAAGATAACATCTTATTATTATACTAAAAAGATTATCTACTACACGATTTCAACTTAAGGCACCTAAAATGGAGGAATATAGCAAATAATATTGTTGCAGAAATAACACCAGGAGGAAGCTCTGATGAAAACTCACACTCACACGAGCTTTTAAATCTGCACAAAATTCAATTTAAACCAGCAAATAATAGAGCCTACCAGACTGGAGAATACACTAGACCTCATCTTCACTAACAATGATGATCTGATAAGAAATGTCACCATATCAAAAACAATATACTCAGATCACAACATAATTGAGGTTCAGACATGTATGCGCGGAGCCCCAGACCGACATAATGAAATTAGTCACGAGGGAGCATTCACCAAATTCAACTTCAATAACAAAATAATAAAGTGGGACCAAGTAAACCAAGTCCTAACCGATATAAGCTGGGAAGATATACTAAGCAACACAGACCCCAACTTATGCCTAGAACAGATTAACTCGGTGGCACTCGATGTATGCACAAGGCTTATTCCTCTAAGAAAAAGGAGGAGTAGATGTAAAATAGAAAGAGACAGGCGCTCCCTTTACAGGCGACGGAAAAGAATAACAGAGCGGCTAAAAGAGGTCAATATATCTGAAATGCGTAGGGAGACACTGGTCAGAGAAATAGCAAACATCGAACTTAAGCTAAAGGAATCTTATAGGAGTCAGGAATCGCGGGAAGAACTAAAAGCCATAAATGAAATCGAAAGAAACCCAAAGTATTTCTTCTCCTATGCCAAATCAAAGTCGAAAACAACGTCCAGTATTGGGCCCTTACTTAAACAAGATGGGTCCTACACAGATGACAGCAAGGAAATGAGTGAGCTACTCAAGTCCCAATATGACTCAGTTTTTAGCAAGCCACTAACCAGACTGAGAGTCGAAGATCAAAATGAATTTTTTATGAGAGAGCCACAGAATTTGGTTAACACAAGCCTATCTGATGTTATCCTGACGCCAAATGACTTCGAACAGGCGATAAATGACATGCCCATGCACTCTGCCCCAGGGCCAGACTCATGGAACTCCGTGTTCATCAAGAACTGCAAGAAGCCCCTATCACGAGCCTTTACCATCCTATGGAGAGGGAGCATGGACACGGGGGTCGTCCCACAGTTACTAAAAACAACAGACATAGCCTCACTCCAAAAAGGGGGCAGTAAAGCAACAACAAAGAACTACAGACCGATAGCACTAACATCCCATATCATAAAAATCTTTGAAGGGGTCCTAAGAAGCAAGATCACCACCCATATAGAAACACATCAGTTACACAACCCAGGGCAACATGGGTTTAGAACAGGTCGCTCCTGTCTGTCTCAACTATTGGATCACTACGACAAGGTCCTAGATGCACTAGAAGACAAAAAGAATGCAGATGTAATATATACAGACTTTGCAAAAGCCTTCGACAAGTGTGACCATGGCGTAATAGCGCACAAAATGCGTGCTAAAGGAATAACAGGAAAAGTCGGTCGATGGATCTATAATTTCCTCACTAACAGAACACAGAGAGTAGTAGTCAACAGAGTAAGTCCGAGGCAGCCACGGTGAAAAGCTCTGTTCCACAAGACACAGTACTCGCTCCCATCTTGTTCCTCATCCTCATATCTGACATAGACAAGGATGTCAGCCACAGTACCGTGTCTTCCTTTGCAGATGACACCCGAATCTGCATGACAGTGTCTTCCATTGCAGACACTGCAAGGCTCCAGGCGGACATCAACCAAATCTTTCAGTGGGCTGCAGAAAACAATATGAAGTTCAACGATGAGAAATTTCAATTACTCAGATATGGTAAACACGAGGAAATTAAATCTTCATCAGAGTACAAAACAAATTCTGGCCACAAAATAGAGCGTAACACCAACGTCAAAGACCTGGGAGTGATCATGTCGGAGGATCTCACCTTCAAGGACCATAACATTGTATCAATCGCATCTGCTAGAAAAATGACAGGATGGATAATGAGAACCTTCAAAACTAGGGATGCCAAGCCCATGATGACACTCTTCAGGTCACTTGTTCTATCTAGGCTGGAATATTGCTGCACACTAACAGCACCTTTCAAGGCAGGTGAAATTGCTGACCTAGAAAATGTACAGAGAACCTTCACGGCGCGCATAACGGAGATAAAACACCTCAATTACTGGGAGCGCTTGAGGTTCCTGAACCTGTATTCCCTGGAACGCAGGCGGGAGATATATGATTATATACACCTGGAAAATCCTAGAGGGACTAGTACCGAACTTGCACACGAAAATGACTCACTACGAAAGCAAAAGACTTGGCAGACGATGCAACATCCCCCCAATGAAAAGCAGGGGTGTCACTAGCACGTTAAGAGACCATACAATTAGTGTCAGGGGCCCGAGACTGTTCAACTGCCTCCCAGCATACATAAGGGGGATTACCAACAGACCCCTGGCAGTCTTCAAGCTGGCACTGGACAAGCACCTAAAGTCGGTTCCTGATCAGCCGGGCTGTGGCTCGTACGTTGCTTTGCGTGCAGCCAGCAGTAACAGCCTGGTTGACCAGGCTCTGATCCACCAGGAGGCCTGGTCACAGACCGGGCCGCGGGGGCGTTGACCCCCGGAACTCTCTCCAGGTAAACTCCAGGTAAGACTATCTACAATACGAGGGTCATTACTAGGAATAAGGTAAAATTTACACGTATGTTGGCTAAAAAATAAAAAATCTTTCCCCTCCCTTTCTGTAGCTACATTCATCAGACACCTTTTGGCACTCTTCTTGAACTGGTTCATGCTATGACTGGCTTTGACATGTGCGGGTAGTCTGCTCCATTCCTTTATTGTTGTACAATAAAAGGTGTTTGAAGCCTGTGGGTACTACAAAGTTGTGCTCTCTCCCCCTAGTACTATGATTGCTTTCGTTCCCAACCGTGACAAAATTGACAGCAAGATATTCTGGACACTGTTTGTGAGCAATTTTATAAACATGATTTAGCTTCAGTTGTTTTACTCTTTCTTCAGCATTCAGCATATCCAACTGCTGTAATTCATCCTGGCCTACATGTTCTCTTGGTCCCAGCCCCAGGATGAATCTTACGATTTTGTTCTGGGTGATTTGCAGTCTATCTTTCAGTTTTTTTGTCAAGGCAGAATACCATGAAGAGCAAGCGTAATCCATATGGCATTGTATAAGGGCTAGACATAGGGTCCTGCGAGCCTCAGTAGGTAGACACTGTGCTTGTCTATACAGGAACTTCAGTCTGGCATTCGCTTTCTTTACTACACTGTTCCCTATCAATTCTCCTGACATGCATGGGTCAAAGGGGATTCCCAGATAATTAACTGAAGAAACCAAAGTGATGGGCTCCCCACTACACTGAACATTAAAATTATTTACCCTTCTCAGTTTATGTTTCGTGCCAAAGAGAATGGCTTCAGTTTTCCCGAGGTGTAATGGTAGTTTGTTGTCTACTAACCATTTGCTGCAGGACTCCAGTTCCAGTGTTAAAACATTAGCTATATTTTGTGGATCTTTACCTGACAATAACAGGGCACTGTCATCTGCATACAGTAGGAGTTTGCACTTGACACTGATAGGCATATCATTGACATAACATAAGAATAATAAGGGACCCAGAATACTACCTTGGGGAACTCCACATGTTATCGGCAGGGGTTCTGATTTCGTTTTGTTTATTTTGACTATTTGTCTCCTGTTGCTAAGGTAGGTCTTAAACCAGTCTACAGTATAGTTGACTCATTTGTTAACTACGATGTAGTTACCCTGTAGTTCATGAAATATATATATTTCATTTACTGGAGAGTTACAAAGAACACTTTGGTGTACTTCTAAATATAAGACAAAATGCCTTCCTTCTTCAGCAAGTCTTCGGTCACTGGTCTTTGTACGGTAAACAGATGACATTTATTACTTTCAGGTGGAATCTTTCATGACTGTGCTGTCCACGATGTAGATTTAATTTGCTGGGTAACTGGAGAGTATCCAACACATGTGTTCGCCTCAGCTACTGCTTTCATCCCAGAGGTCGCTGCGATAAATGATCACGACACTGTAGCCTTCACCATGAAGTTTCCCTCAGGAACTATATCAATGACGGATCTGAGCCGCTACGCTGCTTACGGATATGATCAACGTTTGGAGGTAAAATCAGTAATGCAATTCATAGGCCTGACCAAAATAAGCAAACACGAATTTTATCACCATTACCATTGTTTCTTACCTTCATGGTGTGTAGAAGTAATTGTCTTGAAAAGTCCAACAATATACCATAGCAATATATCGTATACTAAGCTGAGAAGACAATAATGTCCCTTATACTAACCTGAGGAGGCTTCTTTAAAATAGAGATGAAAATAAAGATTTTAATGAGTATAAAATAGGCTTTTATGATTGACATTAATTCTTTCTTATTGTTCACACAGGTGTTTGGGCCAAAGGGCATGGTAGCCTCAGGTAATGAACGACCATATCAGATGACTACCTCCACTGTACAAGGAGAGAGCCAGCCACCCATCCTCCACTCCTTCCCGTCTCGCTATTATGATGGTTATATTAATGAGCTAAACCACTTTTGTGATGTCATCCAAGGTAAGGTGTAAGCCTCATGAAAAAAAAATATTAATTTATATAAGGAAATTAAAAAAAATAAAGGACAAAGTTGGTGAGGCTGAATTTAAACGAGATGGGACTTACACAGATGACAAAAAGAAATGAGTGAGACACTGAAGTCTCAGTATGACTCAGCATTTAGTGAGCCGTTAATAAGACTAAAAAGGTTGACAATCTAAATGAAATTTTATGACCAAGACAGCTGTATAGCCCTTGTGGTTTAGAGCTTCTTTTTATAATAATAATAATAATAATAATAATAATAATAATAATAATAATAATAAATAACCAAGACTCAAAATTTGGTTAATTCAAGAATTTCTGATATAATCCTAACATCACAGGATTTTGAAAAAGTAATGAATGACATGCCCATGCTCTCTGCCCCAGACCCAGACTCGTGGAACTCCGTGTTTATCAAGAACTGCAGCAAACCTTCACGTGCCTTAAATATCTTATGGAGGGAGCACAGACACAGGGGTCATTCCACAGGCACTAAAAACAACGAATATAGCCCAATACACAAAGGTGGAAGTAAAGAGATTATCGAGATATTTGCATGACTGATTCGCCCAAAAGAGAAAATAAATTCAAATCCAATGGACACATGCTAGCCATTTTGTGATCAGCCACTCTGAGTATTAAAACACTAATATTGTATACCATCACTAATATGACACTTCTACACTTTATCTGTATTCTAGAATTATCTCACGATCTTATATATAATTAGTATGTCTCATTTCTTCATCACACTGGTATATAGCTAGATTAAAAAACATAAATCTTACTCAAAGGGCATACGTTTTAGCTGAGGTGTTATGCTTTTCAGTGTAGATACGTTGTTAAATTAGACACATGTGCAACTCTTTGAACCATTCATCTACAATCCTGTCAGACACTGCAACTTCTTGGGATCTTAATACTTGGGAATTCTTCGTTTGGGCACGACCTACTTCCACATTGGACAAATGTGACACCACCTACGACTGCTGCACCTCTCCTGCCATACGGTTTATAAGCTGCTTCTCCGCTCATATGACGTATTCTATTCATGATTGATGGACTGACCACATCGACTCAAGGTTGAGAGACTGATTACCTCCTCCGTTCTTCAAGTTTATCCTTTGTATGGACTGAAGATACCCAAGAGTTGCACATGTGTCTAATTTAACAACGTGTCGGTTCTTTGAACCATTCATCTACAGTGTAGATACGTTGAGATAATATCCGAACCCTTATTTTAGGGATTAAAGCATTCTCAGCTGGTGGTGAACAGGTGACACGCAGCCGTACTGACCCTTGTGTAGTCGATAGGCTTTAAGCCCTATTAGCCAACCAACCTAAAAACTTTGTGAGAGGCTTTACTAACTCAGTCTTTCCTGTCTTTCAACTAGGACTGGTTGATCTGCAGCTGTCTGGAGAGAACACACTTAAAGTGTCCACCATTGCTACTGCCCTCGAGGAATCTGCTGCCACTGGACAGATGATTGAAATAAAGTATTGAAGTGATCTTATCTGAAAATTTCAGGCAAAATGAAGATTTTAAATTAAAACAAAAATACGCTGTACACTAACCATGTGACTACCTACCAGTAATGTTACAAACCATGGTACAGAGGGTCATTAAGATTCCCAAGCAGCATATTATCACGTAAAAGTTTAACTTGTATTTTCAACATGATGTCCTATGCTCTTCTTTATGCTGCATTATTTTACTGTAATAACATCGCACTACGACGTTCAATTGTTTTAATAAGTCTTAAAAAAGACCAAATTGTAATTAAATGATAGACTCCAAAATTATCAAAATATTCCCAAGCATGAACTATTATTGCTACGTTTTATAAAATAAATACTTTAAACATTTAAACACATTTTATTTAAACTTATACATAAAACATTTGATAAAATAAAAAATTAGCTTACTTGGTCCCGTGGAGCCATCGCTTGAGTATGTTTACGCCATTGTCTTGCCCCTTCACTGATACTTTGTGACAATGGGGCGACATTAATGGAAGGTTCCTGGTTGATGGTCGTCTGGTTCTGAGGGCTCCTCTCCCCTCTTTGTCAAGAACTGCAGTATTGACGTCTGGCATGACTTCCTACTTCTTTCTTCCAAGATGTTATAGTAGGGCTTCAACATCATGTTGACACATCTTTGAATGCCGTGGCTACGTTCCCAGTCAGGATCATTATCACAGTTTATCAAATGCACTACGAATTTTGCTTTTAATGTCCTGATTGGCTCCAAGTCTTCCACTTCCTCTGGTGTCAGCCTCATTTTGTTAAGTAGTCAGCCAGGTCGTCCCTCAGTGAGGTTCACCACTCTTAGCGTCGCTCCTGCCACCCACACTGTACCACAACAAGAAGCTCATATTGTGTGTCTGGACTCACAGGCGTTGCAGCTTGTGTGATACTGAAAGTAAAAGTCAATATTTCTTAAAATAAAGCCCATCAACACTTTAAGACTGAAAAGACTCTGAAAATGTATTCTCCAGTAATTGCTTTGAATTTAGTAATTCCAAGTTATATAAGTCTCACTAAACTTTCAAATTTACACCTAAACAATGTAAACTAAGATTGTCTTCCTTGTTATGACATGATCAGTAATAAGAAGGAAAACACTCATCAGAAGAGGCAGTCTATAGTTATTAAATGTAAACGTTTATCACTATTCAATTAAATTGTCAAATTGGGACTTATAGCACCAAATAACAGAGTGAACCTTGCCTGCTGAAAGCTGACCAGATCTACCTGGAGTTCATTACCTTTGTAACTAGTTCAGCTATCATAACTTTGGGGTCCAGTCCCTGGACCAATTATGTACATCTGTAATCTTTTGACTACCGCCCACAGGATGGGTATGGGGTGCATAATAAAGATATTAAACTAAGTAACAAACTTCTGAGAAACACCAGCGCTGGAAATTTGAAACATGATCAGAAATATTCTCCAATAATGAAACAGATTCTAATTATTCCGTTTTTTAAGCTGTTTTGGTGTATCGTCAAATTTCCCCATACAAAAACTAAAGTTGATTGATGTTGTGGAAAATTGCATTTATCTGAATGTAACTAATTATGTACATAACAGTAAATGTTAACAAAGATAATTATTATTTATCAATGTTACATAGACAAGTAGGAATTTGGGACACCTAGGTCGCAAAAAATGTCCCCCTTCGATACCTACCACTGGCATAACCACAAGTTGCTCTGGACCTATTAATTACCAATGAAATATGTATAACCAGGAATACTGGTAAATATATAAATTTTGTGGACTGTATATTAAAAATTATAAATGGTTATATATATACACAATTACATAACAGAAGGAAAATATATCTTAATATCACTCACCAATTTGACTGGAGATTAATGTGTATCATACTCAGAAAACCTCACTCTAACTAAATCTATGAAAATAATGCTGGTCAGAATTACACACAAATCTAGAGAGCTTATCTGAGGTTCCTGGAGCTGTCTTGTCCAGTCGTCTGATATCTCAAGTTATGCAGGAATGCACATCCACCAATTTCGCCTCCTATTTGAGAGGTGTCAACACAATTTTAACCTCTAGAGCACGAAAAATTCTTCCCATTACACCAACGTTTGTACAAAATTCAAAAACCAAGATGGCGAGTCTCTTCTTTTTTTCGATAACATACTTCTTTTAAAAATACAATATAGGGCATCTATTTACCTATAAATTGCCATATTTCCTAAAAATATATACAGTATCTTCCACAGGTGTTATCCTGGCAATAAGATGCATCATCCATTAAATATTGAAGCCGTTCAGATAAGAATAACTGAAATTTATTTAATGTGTTTAAACAAAAATATAAATTTCTTTGTCTTACATGTAAAATAGGCACGTGCACCGATGCACTTAAAATATATTTTCCATAGTCGTCGAATCAGGAGGCACCTTTGGAACATTTGAAACCATGACACAGAAGGTTTTGAAAATTATTGAAGTAACGGTGTCCCATAGCTCGATCAACAGAGCACTCAGCTCACACACTCAGGTTCGAAATTCGAATCTCCTCCGGTATGGCTGAAAAACATTAGGGACGTGTTTCCATAAGACACCTGCTGTCCCTCTTCACTCATCAGTGTAAAATGGGTACCTGGGTGTTAGTCGACTGGTGTGGGTCGCATCCTGGGACAAAACTGACCTAATTTGCTCGAAATGCTCAGCATAACAAGCTGCTTTCTATATAGTAGTATGTCATTACCTGGAGTTTACCTGGAGAGAGTTCCGGGGGTCAACGCCCCCGCGGCCCGGTCTGTGACCAGGCCTCCTGGTGGATCAGAGCCTGATCAACCAGGCTGTTACTGCTGGCTGCATGCAAACCAGCATACGAGCCACAGCCCGGCTGGTCAGGTACCGACTTTAGGTGCCTGTCCAGTGCCAGCTTGAAGACTGCCAGGGGTCTATTGGTAATCCCCCTTATGTATGCTGAGAGGCAGTTGAACAGTCTTGGGCCCCTGACACTTATTGCATGGTCTCTTAACTTGCTAGTGACACCCCTGCTTTTCATTGGGGGGATGTTGCATCATCTGCCGAGTCTTTTGCTTTCGTTGTTAGTGATTTTCGTGTGCAAGTTCGGTACTAGTCCCTCTAGTGAACAGATCCATCAACAAATATAATTTGTGTGAATTTGCCTGCGTTCCAGGGAATACAGATCAAGAGACTTCAACTGGTCCCAGTAATTTAGGTGCTCTATCGTACTAATGTGTGCCGTGAAGTTCTTTGTACATTCTCCAGGTCAGCAATTTCGCCTTCCTTGAAGAAGTAGTCATTACAGCTATTGCAACCCAGGAGTCGCAAAGGCCTGTTATCCTGGGTGTAAAGGGAGCGAAATAAACACAGCAGAAAAACCTTTGACTTGCATTATCCTTCACCAATTTAGAACAGAAGTATGTACACTATATACACTATGTACAACAATAGGTATTAGTGCACTCCACGGTAAGCAAGGCAGAATAGAAGCCACTATAGAGCAGACCATGCTTCAACCAGCTCTAGAATGGGAATGACAAGGGCAGACAGGTGAATGGTACCCACAGCACCTCTGCGATTGCCAAAACCATCTTCTCATTGGCTGGAACCTGGGTACTGGTTGAACGACGGGGCCCCATCATCAACCCCTAGTACCTGGTTCGCTGGTTGGGGTTGACAGCCTTTCAATGAGGGTGTGTAGCGCTGAAAAAAGGTTACGAACTCTTTGCATGCCACAACAGCTTAAGGCATCCTGCTTGGCTTCAAGCAGGATGCCTTAAGCTGTATTGATGGTTGTAATTTAAGAATTTTTTTTTGGGGGGGGAGGGAAGAGAAGGACTGTGGTTTGGAATGGGGGTAATATCCCAGGAGCGGAGAAGTGCCGGTATTGCCTTATTTGACACAGATCATATATCTGGTTCATTCGGAGGTCAGTTCCAGTCTTTACGATCCGTCTGGAGGAGTGTTCACCAGTGCTGAGGAAAGTTTGGAGTGCTTTTGTGCAAGGGTTTGAATGGGCTTGCCTGACCCCAGTGAGGATATTTCTTTCAGTAACAAGATCTCTGATGCTTGGGATATCAAGTTCTTTCAGTATATTTAAAATATTGGTAGTACGAGGGCATCCTAGGATGATCCTCACAGCTTCGTTTTGCATTTTTTCCAGCCCTCCAAGCTTCCAGTCTGACACAAGAGCAAGTAGTGGTGCAACATAATCAATGATCAAATATAAGCAAAATACATCACTTTCACAATTTTAACATTAACACCATACCTGGGATGAAAACCTGCCTCAGCCTTACTGTGTTTGGGAGCAAAGTGAGGGCAAATATTTTTGGTAATTGTAGATTCCTTTCCAAAAATTCTTAGACGTGCAAATAACTAGTTCAGTGACATCCACAATTACTCCTGAGTTAGTCCTGTTATTTTGGGTTTCCAGACAGTTGTGTCAAATAATGCTGCATATTTTGTATTACAAGAGCTGGGAACCTTCTTTATTAAGAAGAGAAGCTGCTTTTGAGATTGACAGTGAGACTTCCTTCTCGACACCACATTTACAGAACAATAAATTCTAATATTAATCTCGACCTGAAGCACTTTCTTAATAGTTGCAATAGGATCATGGACATAATACTAGGCACAAAAATCTCTATGACATTCCCCGTGTCCGACTTAATCCCTTCAAAAATTCAATGCACATAAAATGGCCCAAAATCTGGAATTCTCTGTTGGAAATCTCCAGTACCACTATCAATGCCAGCATTTTCAAAACTACCATTAACAAAAACCTCTCCCTAACATATCCCAACATTAACTAAATGTGTGATAACTACCTGGAGTATACCTGGAAAGGGTTTCGGAAGTCAACGTCCCCAAGGCCTGGTCTGTGACCAGGCCTCGCGGTGGATCAGGGCCTGATCAACCAGGCTGTTACTGTAGGCCGCACGCAAACCGACGTATGAACCACAGCCCAGCTGATCAGGTAGTGACTTTAGGTGTCTGTCCAGCGACTTCTTGAAGACAGCCAGGTGTCTATTCTAAATGTCATGAACATATGTAAAACAATATAATCTTATTCACAGTATCTGTACTCCTCTCAAATATTAAACATTGATAATTCACCCCAGGTCCTGACAATAGAGATAATCAACCCCAGGTCCTGACAAAAGGCAAGTACACAGTACTTGATGACGCACTGACTTTCTTTTTTTCAATTCAATTCAATTCAAAGTTTATTCTCTATAAGGATTACAATGCTGAGTTTACAGAAATTTGGTTATTGTTTGGTTTACATGTAGTAAAATTGTGATTACAGAGTGTACCACTAGAACGCTTAGCATGGCTAGGCATTTCGGGCATA